CATATATAAAAAGTAGATACATCCTTGTGTTCACTGTCTCTGTTTCGTAGATTGTTTGGAAACCGTTGTGCGTCCCGTGTTGTTGGTAACTCTTCTTTGCAACAGTGGCACCAACAATCAAAGCACTTGGAAAATGCTTTGGGGGATAAAGTAAAAAAGCTGTCTGTTTTACATTTTGCTGGGTGCACCAGAGAGGCTGTACATCACTTCATTTCCCATTGGTAAGCATCAGGGTGTTGGTGTTGGCGTGTGTGTGTGTGTGTGTGTGTGTGTGTGTGTGTGTGTGTGTGTGTGTGTGTGTGTGTGTGTGTGTGTGTGTGTGTGTGTGTGTGTGTGTGTGTCAATGTAATGTCCCCTAAAGTGATGTATACATGGTATGTGTGTGTGTGTGTGTGTGTGTAGTCTAGCATTACTATACTTGTGGGGACCTAAATCTGTTTACATAGTCACGTGTGGGGACTGGCTTCCCTTATGGGGACAAATTGGAGGTCCCCATGAGGGGAATCATTAATTTTAGGGTGAAGACTTGGTTAGGGTTAAGGTTAGGGTTAGGCATGTGTTGGTTATGGTTAAGGTTAGGATAAGTCTCCAGGAAATGCATGTAAGTCAATGTAATGTCCCCTGAAGTGATGTATACATGGTATGTGTGTGTGTGTGTGTGTGTGTGTGTGTGTGTGTGTGTGTGTGTGTGTGTGTGTGTGTGTGTGTGTGTGTGTGTGTGTGTGTGACAGACAAGCTGCAGTCTGATTTGCTCTTGTTTGGATCTGAAACAGGACAACACAGCGGAGAAATATGAGGCCTCCCGTTTCTTAATTATTTAAATCAAACAATTAACTACGGCTGCCCTGGGAAAAGCTCTTTTATCCGCTCATCCACAACAACAACAACAGCCACTATCCTGGAGCCTGCTGGAGAACAGATCACATGGTTAACACTAACCAATAGGGAAAACTGTCTTTTTTTGTAGTTTTTAATTATTAAACCAACTGTTTTAGACAGGTGCTGTTTGTAGGCTGAAGTTAGGCTCCTAAAAAAGAGCCAGAGATTTCTTCTAAATATCCATTCCACACCCTATAATTTGATAGTGCAATCTTTTCTAAAAACTGTTAATAAACTCAATGTGCTTTGTTATAAATATTCAGGAAATTATTGGAATGAAATGAAATGAAGTCATGAATTAAAGTTCAAAGCTTATTTTTAGTTCTGTATCATTTGCATCCCGTCACTTTGTCTCAGGAAAGTAGATACAGTGTTCACATTGATTACACGGTCAAATATATATAATTTATAGGCTTCAACTGGAGAGCAGCTCCACAATTAAACTTTGATGAAGCCATGTACTACATTCTTTGTTATGGACCAACATGCCAGCCACTGTCTGCCAGGCAAGAAGTAATTGTAAATATTGGATAACGCACAATATAAAAGTCGATTTTAATTTTGATGTCTTAAATATGATTAATCAATGAGCTGGTGAAATCCATCAGAGCAATATTCAAGTTATAAAATTCATAGTGGGGCTTAGAAAAACTAACTTTTTGTCAATATGTATTGTAATATTACTTATAGGATCATCATCGTTACTTTTATTTGGAAGAATGTTACCTTTACCGTTATTTTCTGTCATCTCTGTCTTTGTCTGTTTGAGTATTTTTTTGTTCTTGTTTGAGGATGTGAAAGGGTCTTATCTGTGAGATATTTCCCGTCAAAACAAATGACCTAAGTAGGCCTATTATGTTCTCCTTCATGGCTCTTCTTAGAATAGGAATGGTGGAATTATTGCTGTACAGCTCCTGTGGCCATAGCTTTAACCTGTGGCCTGTAGCTTGTAGTTTCCTGACTTGTAGTTTGACGGTTGTATCTTGTAGCCTGCACCCTGGATAGAGAGGCGAAGTCCCGCCCATCTACTTCCGCCCCATGGGACCTTATTTCGGAAAAAGTATGTATTGAAGTCAATGGAGAGAAAAAAACGTATCTCTCGATCCCGTTTGAATTGTGCCACGAATTACACATATGTTTGTCAATCTTAACAAATCATTTCTATGTCAAAAAAGTCACAGTTTGTCGTAAAACTGTTGAAATATAAGACTATGGAAAATACGCAACTAGAAAGACTACAAATCCCAGAGTCCCGGTCCCGCATGCTGGCTCTTACAGAACCGACTAACTCCCCTTGTGTGTATGCACAGCTCTCAACGTGCCCAGACTTGTAGTGATTTCCACCTCTTTTAATACTTTCCGCCTCATTCTGAAAGAAAGAAGTGAAATGTTCCAACGTGACGGCCGTCTTGGTGTGTGGTGCGAGACGGGAGATGTAGTTCATTGAGCGCTTCACACAAAAATAATTAATTTTTTTGACTTGCAAAATTATCTTTTAAATTGACAAACATCATATGTGTAATTCGTGGCACAATTCAAACGGGATCGAAAGATAACTTTTCTCTCCCCATTGACTTCAATACATACTTTTTCCGAAATAAGGTCTCATGGAGCTCCCCCGGAAAGGGAGGGACTTTGCCTCTCTATTTTCTCGCTTGTATCTTGTAGCCTGCACCCTGTATCTTATCGCTTGTATCTTGTATCTTGTAGCCTGTAACCTGTAGGCTGTAGGCTGTGACTTATATTGTGTTGCCTGCACCCATACTTTGAATCTTTTAGCCTGTAGCATGAAGCCAGTAGCTTGTCGCTTATAGTTTGTAGCTTGTAGCCGGTAGCCTGTAGCATAACATATAACTTAGCATTTAGCTGTAGCATGTAGCTTTTATTGCTTGTATCTTATAACGTGTAGCATGAAGTCTGTAGCGTGTAGAGTCTGTAGCATGTAGCCTAGCATGTAGCTTGTAGCTTGTAGCATGTATTGAGTTGCTCCGAGGGGATAAAGGCCCGAGCTGCTGTTTAACAAACACACTCAAAAATCAATAGTATCATAACAGCTGATATTTATTATTCATTAATAACGAGTTTATGGTGCCGAAACCACCTGCTGAGCTGCAAAGAGAAAAATAAAACACTGGTATAAATAAAATACACAGATAGGGAATTTCAGTGCACTCTGGTTTGTTGATGCTTAAATACACCTTAACCCATACATCATTCTTTATTTTTCTATTTCCGGATAAGTATACTGCCATATTGTTAATGCATGGAGCATTTTGTGTTTTTGTAATCTGCAAAAACACTGTAAAAATAAATACTGCACCGATTCTGAAATGAAGACTCATGCACACAATGCTTATAACTTATATGATGTGCACTACATGAATCATGCACAATTAATTCCATATGCTCTCGTTTAATACTTTTTTAAATGTAAATATAAAGCACATAAGTGTCAATTTTTTTAAATTATTACTTCATATTAATTATAATAATTCGATTTATACAAAATACACTGCTCTGAAATGTGTAATTAGTTGTTTTGTTCTTGTTCTTTTGAACTCATAAGCAGATATGTTGTATGTCTGACAGAAATATAACTAGAAGGAATATTTGGCTGAATTTATGAATACAATTGATACTTTGAACTTGAAGCTGAGCGACAGAGACATCCAGATATCCAACTTGAATCATGTGTAGGAGACAGGTGGAGTTTATAATGTTTGTTTCACAATTTCACAATTGTGTTGTACATGCAGAAATAAATAGGCCTAAAACCTCAAAAAAGAGTCGGAGTGGGCAGCTAACATTATGAGTCTGATCATGGCAACAGTAACATTGAGAATAATGGGGTTTTTTTTATAAACGGGGGGTTTCTATTAAAGGTTAATTTATTTCAGAAACACTTTTTGTTATATTCCATGGAATGCTCTTAACATCCCGATAGCAATGAATACATTAAAAAACGTCATATGTGGAAGTCATGGCGCTGTCCGGTCCGGTCCGGCTAAAGTAACTGGATGGCCTACCTGCCTGTCAGCCTTCCATCTGTGCACAAACTTATCTCGTGCCCTCATTGGTCATGTGCGCGTTCGTGTGTGTTGGAGGAGGGGCTCTGTGAGGAAGGGGCAGGTTTTTCGGGTTGTGTATTTTCAAGTTCTTGCGCACTCGAGCTGGTTTCCCCATCCTTACCTACCTACCTTTAAGCTGGAGATAGTTTACATTATATTATGCACCTGCTTACATTTGACAAACAGTTTGCAATAGTTTAAGACTCATTATCCTATAAAATAATATTTAACAAAATTATAAAGAAATGTTTCCGTTTCAGTATTTTCCTGAAGTAGGAAGACTTATACAAATATTGGGGAATTACATTTAAAGTACAACGAATTGTTCAGGGTGTCTGTCAGGGGACTTGTTTGTCTTATTTAGTCTAAAAGTCTCAGTCTAAACTGAAGCACTGTGGGTGTCCAGCTCAAGTCAATCGATTACAGATTTTCTCGAGCAGAAAAATAAAATAAATGTTTTTGTATTTATTGTTGTATCAATGCCCGTTGTTTTTTTAGTTTCACTCTACACGTTTTTTAACTTTGAAATGTGTGTTTATCGGCTCCACTCTCTGTAAGGTATTTCCTGTTAGTCTGCTAAAAGCCTCAGACAGATAGAGCCTGCTGCCCTGTCTGCGTAGTGCTGGATGTGATAGAGCCGTGTAGTCTTCATACCCGGCCAAGTTGATCAATATTAGAGTCACTCAAGTATCAAATCCTATTCATCAGCTCTGGGAAGCAGCTTCCAGGCGGACCTCCTTCACCTCCAGCTTCTCCTGTTTCAGAGGAGCAGCTGCTCTGCACCAAGCTCATGTTGCAAAGTCCATTAAATCTATCTATAAGAAAAGACTATTAACACCTCTATCAGCAAACATAGGTTAATGTGATGACAAGCCGATCACAGTTATCGATTTCTAAAGAATTAAAACAATATAAATGGTTGTTTTGATTAAAAAACGTAAGATGTTTTATTATAAACTCAAAAGACGTTTTATTTATTTTGATTTTTTTTTCAAAGAAAGGCTGTCAGAGAACGAAGTAAAACGTGCACGGTTTATTTCAGCTTCTGTCGTTTACACAGACACATTTAAAGCACACTTTCACAAATGAAATATGATTTGTTTCCCCTCCAAAATAAATTAAGTTAAATAAATAAATAAAGGGCAGTATAAAGAAAATAAAACAAAACATGACATTTCTCAGAAGTGTTGAAAAAAATGTATAAATAAATAAATAAGGCCGACTATTTCCCTTCATTGGATTATCTACAAAGTGCGCTCCACAAAGGTGTCAGAGATAATAATAATAATAATAATAATAATACATTGCATGAGGACAAAAGGGGGATAAACAAATTAATAATAATAATAATAATAATAATTTGATTGTCAAAGCATCCTTGCAGTGAACATATACAACTGGTTTACACATCAGTGAATTTGTCTAGGCCTAATTCGCCATTAAACTGGTGTCAGAAACAACAAAAAGGAAAAAAACACATTTCAAAACAAACAAAAATGTTCCTACTAGTCTTTTTTTCTTTTTCTTTTTAAGCGTGTGTGTTTGCGTGTGTTTTTAAATCACCATGAACGTGCCAACACTTGCGTAATGAGGTAGCCACACAGCTATACCGTGTGAATGTGTCGTGCGTGTGTTTGTGTGCCTCTCTCTTATTGCAATGCATTCACTTTTAGGGGGGTTATTTTCATATTTTTGGAGAAAAAATAACCCCTCTCCCCTTTTACGAGTAAACCATGCAATGGATTACAGTTAGTGTGCCTCATAAATTAGCCATTTTTACTCGATTTGTCCCAAAAAACTATTGAATTCCCTACAGAAACAAACACCTGGGAGAAAAGACAGAAAATCCAATACATTTCAATGAGCTTTCCACACACGGAGGTGCAACATATTCACAAATATGTACAATGATAAATATAAAAAAGCTATTCGGACTAACGAGGTCAGTTTTTCCTCGATTCCCGTCATTATTATGATTATTTTTTGTACAATAATTGCCATATGAATGAATGAATGGGACGGAGCAATGTTCCCCTTCTCTTTCTGATGATCACTTTTCTAGCGTGTCTCAGAGAGAATTCTGTGGAGAAACATAAAGATTTGAGAGTTTTTGGACAGGATCTCAGTCTTTCTCCTATAGTCCCGATGCTCCGTCTCCACTGTCAGAATAAAAAAGATACACCATTGAATCCAGTGGTCTGTGAAGCTGCGTTAGGCTGAACCTTCCAAAAACAATAACAACAAACAGTTCCTGGTTATACTGAGTGGATCAAAGTCGTCAGGTGTCCCACGTCCTCGGAAATATAGGCCTGAAAACTCCAGAGACGTGAAGCTGTTTCTCTGCGCTTCGTTGAATACTTTCTGGGAACACATTCCCACAGCTCCTTTGCGAGATGGTCAACACTGTAATGAAGACATTTAGTCCCTTATTTGTCCAAAATGTGATTTTTCTTCAGCGAATTCAGCCATTGAGGAGAAACAGCATATTATACGTTTTCGATGAAGGTTCATTTGAATTCTTGAAGGCGAAAAACTTAATAAAATGTGACTTGTTAGTATGGATTTTTTAAGTGCGCACGAGGCCAGCAGGCTCCCCGGTGTATCGTGTTTTTCTGACAGTGTGCCGCAGCAGCAGCATCTTGCCTCTGATTTGTCTTTGTGTAAACGGGACAGAGACCCTAGTGCGTCGCAGAAAACTTCATTCGTTTCTGCTTTTGCCTCTGATTGCAAAACCAAACCCGGACCACGTTCTTCTTCAGGTCCAGCTTCTCCGCGATGGCTGCGATTTTCTCCGACGAGGGCCTCGGCTGCACGGCGAAATAAGCCTCCAAGGAACGCTTTTCCGGGGCTGCAATTGACGTTCTTTTCCTCTTCTTATCCCCACTGCTGAATATCTCCGGCTTGTTCATCTTCTCCCTCTGCGCCCGCTCCGCCTCCTCCAGCCAGGCCTCCAAGATGGGCTTCAGGGCCACCATGTTGTTGTGCGACAGCGTCAGGGACTCGAACCTGCAGATGGTGCTCTGGCTCAGACACCCGACCCCGGGGATCTTAAGGTTTGCGAGCGCGGAGCCCACGTCTGCCTGTGTCACCCCGAGTTTGATCCGCCTTTGTTTGAACCTCTCGGCGAAAGACTCCAGCTCCCGGGGGTCTGGCTCTGAATCTAAGCCGCCGGACCCCAGGGAGCTGTGGGACAGCGCGTGCTGGTGCATGTTCATGGACTGCTGGTGGTGGTGGTGCTGCATGTGCTGGTTGATGGCCGACATGTGGGCGGCGTGCGCTTGGTGCGAGGCCGAGGAACAGACGTCCGAGCCAGACATGCCTCCCAGGGAGATCCCCGGTGTGAGGTGGTCCAGCAGGTCTCCATCCAGAACCTGCGCGGACTGGTGGTGCCCCGGGTGGTGGTGCGAGCTGAGCACGGAGGGGTGGTGCAGGTGCCCGGAGGAGGAATTGGGGGTGCAGGCCATGCTGGTCATGGTGGTCATGGTGTGGTAGGTGGCGTCTGGTTTGAACGGGTGGCTCTTCTGGGCCACGATGTCCACCGCGGCCAGAGCCTCGGCTCTCTGCAGCAGAGTCTCATCGAAGCCGGCGAAGATGTTGCCCTGCAGCTGCGGAGGGAGCAGAGAGGGCCGGTTAGAGCAGGGCATATTACTTTATTTAACAATATTTAAACCATTTATTTTTCCCACTGCACCATGCAAACACTTTCTATGCATTAACATTAAGTATGGGTTATTTTAATTTCTCTGGAAATAATGTAAACATATTGAGAAAACCACAAAACTAAATTATTTTTAATTCAAAATGTGTGAAAAACCAAGTGAAAAACGAAAGTGTTGTCAATATCCTTATCCAGAAGTCCGAAGTTGTTCATATTTAAATATCACAAAACGTTGGATCATTTTACATAATTTTCCAAACGTAAAAGCCTCGCAATATCTAACCGAGAGTGTTAAATTGAACAAGATTAGATAAACAGTGGACATGTTAAAGTTACATCTCAACTATTATATTTCAAATATCTAAAATAGCTTTTAGAGATTAAAAGCACAGCCAATAATTTAATTTAATTCCCATGCTTCTTTCACCAAACAAAACCAACGTATTGCAACTCCAGCTCTGCTCTGCCCAACGCCCAGAAGGTGTGTCAGAGTGGATGGAAATTCATTTAAAATTAATATTTACGATCTCCTGAATAATTTCTGCGGACAATGAAATGAGAAGAGTTTGAATATGAATGTGACAATATGAGATAACATGCGCTGAGAAAATCCAGCGCTCGTGTTGTCCTCTTTCTGTTTCATATTTGACCTTCTCTCACTTTCAGCAGCACACTCTCCTGAATGTGAGATGTGGCTTTTTGAGCGTCTTTACGCACCGACTTCCTGACATTTAAGTAGCCAAATTGGTGTGTACTCTTCTCTTCGTGCTTCTGGTGACATCTGATCTTAACATTTGTATTCAATTCTATAATTCATTTGTGTATTTACTCTTTATTTAAATGTGCTGTTACGCTCATTCAATTTTCTCAAGTTTCCAAACATGACACATTTCTTGCTCTCTGTTTTCTGGTGCGTAAAACTGCTCACTTCAGTGATCAAAATATGTGTTTCTTATGATACAAAAAACTACTTTTGTATATCCTCGAAATGGACAGGACATAATATTACAGTTTTAAAGCAAATAGGTCAGAATAAAGGTCCACAGTAAATGCACTGCAGTTCTTATCCCATTTCTAACCATTTACAAGCCTTCCTCTGCAGTTGACAGATTTACCAGACAAAGTACACAAGTTATTCCTCCTCTATTTCCCCTGACATGTTAGAAGTGTTGTCGTTTGCATATGACAGGAAGTCAGCAGTAAAGGAGACTCACCGATTGTCCGGGCAGGCAGGCCCTGCGGATGGCCTCGGAGCTGCTGTGCAGAGGGTTGTATTTGGGCTCGTGGAGGATGGGGTGCATACTGAAAGGCTGCTTGCTGTTCATGGACATCATATTTGCAGAACTGGTGGGAGCTTTCGCTTTCTGTCGTCCTGGTTTCAGATCCTTGGTAGACTTTCTAAAAAAGAAACACCTCTGAGAGGAAGAGCAGCCAGACGCTTTGCAGGAAAAGTGTTCGCAGATGCAGCTTTAAAAACAGAAAAGGGGAGGAGAGGTAACTCCTGGCTCCTGCGGATCTCCTGTCTCCTTTTCGCCTGTGACTGAGTTCTATAATAAAGATGATCCTCGCCTCCAGCTCCTATATTGGACCACAGCCGTGAAGCCTCCTCCTGATTGGTGGAACCTCCCCCCGCCCTCTGCACGCCTCCACCAATCAGGAGGAGTTATCCGGCTGCAGCCACGCCTCCAAGCGTGCCTGGCTCTCTGGAAAGGATGCTGTGAGGGTTCAGAAATATTCGTCAAAATAACTGAAAATCAACACCTGAAGAAATAGGCTCCCCACAGTTAGACGAAACAGGCATGGTGTTAAAGGAAAATTCGCTTTTAAAATTAACGTGTTAGACTGCCTTACCCATATTGATCAAAATATAATATGATGAATTACTTTTTTCCAAAATGTTTTGATTTAAAAAATATATATAATTTAGTTTGTTGGCATGAAAGTGTTTTGTCACAGCAAATGTTTTTTAGTTGGACCCTAAAACATTCATCTTTAATGACATTTTCTGAATTTACATTTGAGCATTTCGTTTCGGTTCAGAAGCCAGGATCAGATCGTGATATTGTCAGACATTATGTTTTGTGTTATGAGTAAATCACAATTAATCAATATAATAAATTAATCATCTCTGAGTGTCATTCATTCTTTATGCATCTTTATAATCCCATGATATTACAGGCAATATGAAATATGACTGGAAAAAGGCAGAAAAGCAATTAATCAATTAACCAGAGAGTATGTGCGCGAGTGAGAGAGAGAGAGAGAGAGAGAGAGAGAGAGAGAGAGAGAGAGAGAGAGAGAG